CTTTACCATAGATCAGTTTAATATACTTTTAAAATCCTATAATCCATCTTTGTTCTTTTGTGCTTTTGTCAGTTTGTCATAATAGAACTGTCATCTCATCACTTCAAAGTTTCTTTTTTTTTTAATTGGACACAATATCTTTATTTTTATGTGGTGCTAAGGATTGGACCCAGTGTCTCACATGTGCGAGGCAGGCACTCTATCAATGAGCTACAGCCCCAGCCCTCAAAGTTTCTTTTTAATATTTTTTATTGTAGATGGACAAATAACTTTTTATTTTATTTTTATGAGGTGCTGAGAATCAAACCCATTGTCTCACACATGCTAGGCACAGGCTCTACCACTGAGCCACAACCCCAGCCCAGTTCCAAGTTTCTTGCAACCCTGTTCATCAGATGCATCAAGAAGTTCATGCTGGAAAGTTCTCCTAAGCTATATTCCAACATTTTATTTTGATATAAAAAGGATATTAAACAATGTTGGTATGCTCACCAATATATGATAATTCTCTTGTGTTGCTGGTAGTTTTGGAGCTCACCTCTGGGTTCATTAGATCATGTGAATCTGCCAGCCTGGACTTTTGTTTTTGAAAGAAAGGCATTATTCATTTGTTTTTTATTAAGAAAAATATGCAAATAAATTTTGAACGCCGAAAGAATAATGCAGACATGTGTTTGTTTCTGTATGTGTCTCTGACGCTATCAGATCTGATAAAAATATTTGTTTCAGTTGCTTATGGCTTAATAGGTGGCCTTGCAAGTTGTAGGACTAGAATTTCTGGATTTTCATCCCTTATATACCTGGGTAAAGTGCCTGTGGCAAGTGGGCACAATTGGCAGTTTTGGTTGCATCCAATACAACTCATATGCTATAGTATGAATTTTAGTCACATTGGCTAGAGTATTTTTTGTTCTTTATAGATATAAATGATAGTAGAGTATATTTTGACATTATGCATACATGGAATATATCTTATTCTAATTAGGATCCCATTCTTGTGTTTGTACATGATAGTTACCATATATCTTGATGGACACTTGCCTCTAAAATGCTTGTAGCAAAGCTCAGTGTCAAGAAGGAAGTCAGTGAAGGGCCATGTGTAAGTTTGTACTGATGTATTCACATTTGTATTAGTCATTTTTTTGTTTTGTTTTTGTAACAAAATACCTGAGAAAATCAACTTAAAGGAGGAAACATCTATTTTGGTTCATGATTTCAGAGATCTCAGTCCCTGGTCTGCTGGCTCCATTGTTTCTGGCCTTGTACTGGGGCAGAACATCATGGCAAAAGGGCATGTAAAAATAAAGCTTACCTCCTGATGGCCAGGAAACAGAGAGGGACAGAAAGACTGAGAGGAAGGGGCTCAGGGACAAAATATGTCCTTCAAGGGCATGCCTTAGAAGACATACTTCCTCCAATGAGGCCCCGCCTCTCACTAATACCAGGGACTGGCAACCAAGTCTTTATAGCACATGGCCTTTAGGGAACATTTCAAATTCCAACTATGATAATCTATATACACATTTTCTCAGACTTGAATGGAGGCCTGGATGAATAGAAAAAAAAAACAGATGAGAAAGAGAAAGGTAATCCTAGTACTCTGATAAAAGGAAGTTTAGGTTCCTTGGTTATCATGAAACAAGGGATTTCTTTCTTACTGCTGATGAATTTGAATTATAATTACAGAGTATTGGTAAGCCACATTAAGTCCCAAGGGCTAGATTAAAAATACACACCATTCAGAGAAACCATTTGAATATTTCCTGAAAAACATAGCAGCTAAATAGGAAATCAATTTATGAACAGATATAAGCTGTTGTTGGTTGTCCATTAATTTTAGCTATTTCTCCATGATGCCAAAGATCAATTTTTGAAAGTGAAACGAATGGCCTGTGGCTAGATGTAATGTGTAACTCACTTATAGGTTTCCTTTCTGTTGTAGAAGTGAACAACAACAGTTGAACAGGTTTTTGATTTGGTTCCTAGAAAATAATGGAGCTTTTGTACAATTCTTGAAATAGAGCCTACAGCCAGCCCAAACAAAATAGTCCCTTTCAAAATCTTGGAAATAATGACATCATAGGCAGATTGAACCAGCAATCCATTAATAGTATCCTTTGTGGAAAGCTGTCTCAGAAGAGGACCTGGATTAGTAAATTGGTATTGTTTACAAACATAGCATAATAGAATGCCCTTTTTTTTTCTACATTTGTGGGAGAGCAGGAGACCCCTCCCATTTAGGAAATAAATACTATGTTAGCTGTGAGGCTTCCTCACAGGTCCCTACTCTCCCTTTCCACTGATTCATCTCTGTAAAAACATTTATTCCAACTTTTCTTATAATCTCCTGATGGGTTAAATGGAATCCACACAATTCCAGTTTGGTAGGAAGTAGAACGAGCTGCCATATAAGCTAGGTCCTTTGCAGATCACCTTTGATACTGACCAGAGCATGTGTGTATGCTGTTGACCTTTTGGTTAAGAATTTCTGGTGCAATATGGAAGAGTATAGTTCAAGTTTTATATCCCAAGCAGTCCTTTCTTCTCATCTGAAAATATACCTGGTCAAGTAACATCAACATAATCAGCTGCCTGAAAAGAATCAGGGCATCTACCTGCTTCTCTGGTTAGAGAATGTAATTAGGAAAGAAAAAGGCCACTGTGTGGTGAACCACACCTACTTATCAAGAACAAAGGAGCATAGAATTTTAAATTACGGAGTTGTCCTAGAACCCTGGCTGGCCCAGACTCTTGTTTGCCTTATTATGCAAGATCAGCTTTGTTTTTTAAAAGAGGTCATGTGTGTTTCTGTGACTTCTATCATCTTAAGTAATATGTCATCAGAAAATACATATCATCTAGAAAATGGTGGCTCTCTGTGCCTGAGAGACACATTTTTTTTTCAGAAATCTGTCTTCTAGGTATTTCTTTTTATATGCTCAGTTCCTTTCCAATAACTTTCTTATTTCATTTTACCAAGGTAGATTTTGTGTATCCCAAATATGCCTTATATTTGGGAATTATTTTTGAACCCAGAAAAGTCAATCTGGTAGCAAATTCTTCTCAGTGGCTACATTAAATCCATCAGCCTCTCAGATAAAAATTAATGCCATTTGTGAAGTGAGGCTTAAACTGACTTTTTGTCTGGAGAAAGAATGAATTTAAAAGAACTAAAACTCAAAATGCAAAAGAGAATGTAGACATATTAGCATTGGTTTCATATTCTTGTTAAATATTTACTAATACCATTAATTAGTATGTATGCATGCACTTCATTCTTGATATCATGGATATACCTACATTGGAAAACGTGAGGCTTATCAAATTGTTGGTAGTGATAAAACATTTATTAGTGAGTACTTTCACTAATGCACTGACTGAAAAAAAATAAAAGAGTTGGTCTTAATTTGTTAAGATAATGCAAGGCATGACAAAGCAAAAGAAAAGAGATCTTGTGTCCAAATCAAGATCAAGTCAATCATTGTTAGTTGACAGCCACCTGTGTAGGAGGAGAAAATATTAATTAATTCTAGCCTATTTGAGTAATTATAGACTGTGTATTTGAGTGAATTTAAAGCATAGCTAATTTTTAAAAACTCTCCACAAAACATGATATAACTTAGCTCTGACAACTGAAAACAATCACATTGTAACCATTAAAGGGCCAAAGTGAAGATTGTGAAATGTGAGAGTATTTCCTCATTTCAACAGTTAATGAAGAGACCCTGGCTTTTATTATTCTTGTACCTAGGTTCGCTTCTAGTAAATGTCAGAATAAAGTAATGTGGTTGGTTGTATTTGGAGGAGTTCTTATGTTCCAAATTAGTGCAGGGTACTACTTGATGAATTTACAGAGATTTCACACTAATGGGATTTGATTTTCCTTGTATTCAAACTAGGAATTCTCTTGGAAGTTTTTCTTAGTACTTGAATTGTGCTGGCAAGTGTTGAAGTATAATGAAAGGACTTGAATTAGAGTTGGAAAACACCTGAAGACAAACATTTCCTTGCTAGGTCCATGCTTTTCCAGTTCACATTATCCTCCCAGTAGGATGAAGCCTGAATGTACTCAAACCTACACTCAAAATAGTAAATAATAATGAAGTTAAGCCTGGGATTGTGGCTCAGTGGTAGAGCACTTGCCTAGCATGTGTGAGGCACTGGGTTCGATCCTCAGCACCACATAAAAAAAATTAATAAAAAAATAAAGGTACTAAAAATAATGAAGTTAACAATAAATAAATTCCTAAAACCCAGATTGAATCTTACAAGTCTCTGTCAACTCCCTGTTGTTCCTTGTTTTAGGACATAAAATGTAACAGGAAATAAGGTTATAACATCTGTTCAGGATATGCCCTCTCCTCTGGATCTCCTTTTTGTTTATGGTGACATTCAGTCTACTTTCATCTTTTACTTGCTTAGGAAAAGAGGGGGCATTTTTTGCCCTACCAGTACGTCCCAACTCTGGTGAAAGTACCAGATCTATGGGATGTTTTCTGAGTTTATTCCTATAAATACAGCAGAGACATTTTGTAAATCAGGTACACACTAGTAAGAAACAGGTACCAAAACCATTGTAATGTAAAAGCAGCCAAAAAAATCATGGTTGTGGGCCATTAAAAATCAACAGCCAAACCTTTGTCAGTTCCATACTCTCAGGAGTTTGTGCCTCTTAACCATTATGATCATCAGGATGGAATCTTCAAAGAAAGGTTTAATGTGGTTCATTAAGAGACTGGACAGCAGAAATGTGTTTGTGTATACATATTGAATTGTCATTAATTGTTACTGTCACTTTCCTCACTTAGATATTATATTGTTGGTCTTCCAGGGAGGCAAATCTCTTGGTCCTGAAGAGAAATCCCTCAAGTTGATTCACATAAACCTAAGAAAACATGAGACTAAGGCTGTTGTTTCTAATATGTTAGAACCTCCATATTTACTATATTTGGTTTGGAATTCTCTTTTCTTAATTCCTGTTTCCTCCTGCTTTTCTTTAGGAGCTGTGAAATCAGTTGCAACTGAAAATGTCTGACAGTCTGGATAATGAAGAAAAACCCCCAGCTCCCCCATTGAGGATGAATAGTAACAACCGGGATTCTTCTGCACTCAACCACAGCTCCAAACCACTTCCCATGGCCCCTGAAGAGAAGAATAAGAAAGCCAGGCTTCGCTCTATCTTCCCAGGAGGAGGGGATAAAAGTAAAGTATCAGTGGTCGGGCATTGAAAAGGGGCTAGTTTATTATTTCATTGTCACTTTTTTTCCTCATGTAGTCATTTCTTAAGCCATTGGCTGTTCAGGGCCTGCCTGCCATTTACATCTACATCTTCCAAGGTTGCTTTTTTGTCAGAGGATCATGTTTGATGGACTTACTGTGGGTTGACAGAAAAATATATGTATGCTATGTTTGCTTTTCAGAGAAAATTGAATTCATAGAGTTAAGTCATGGGGAATCATAGCAATGGTATTGTCTTGAATATATAAACAGTGACTTTCTGATAACTTAGACTAGAATTTACAATAATACCTTCGTAACTGTAAGTTGTCCTTTTTGAAAATTTGAATATAGGTGATTTTACTTCTGTATATGTTTTTGGGAACTGAACATATTCAACTGAGTGTATGGGAGTCACTCCAAGTCACCACAGTGTTGTCTCTCTGACTGTGTTACAAGGTGGGAAGAAACCGAGTCATTCGTTTCTTTTTTTGGTCTTCTACCAGTGGTCTCCTACACAATCAGCCTTATGTGCACTGAGTATCACAATATATTATCATTTATCCATGTGGTGTTCATAATGCCATTTTGATGCTTAAATATCATATGCTAAACATTTGTGACATTTGGGGATATAAAATTCCTAGTAAACAACTTTCAGATTGTATTAATAATCGTAAAGCTGGAACATGGTTTCCATAGATGTGATTACTGAGGCATATATGAGTAAAGCCGGTACAAGGCCATTGGCATCACAGAAAGTGGCCAAAAGGGTAAGAAAGGTGATGTCTGTAGAAGAGAAAAAGGCACATTCTTGACCTGCTTCTTCAATGAAAACAAGTAGCTATATAGGTTGATTATATGGTGTTAGTGAGTCAACAATGGATATTATAAGGACAATTGAAACTCTTATCATATGCCTACAAGGTACTTTATATTTTATGCCTGAAAGATGGAAAAGAGGCAAATTACATTAAACCTCTGAATTGAAGATAAGCAAATGAATAACAGAACACTTTTCATGCAAGGGATCTGTGACCATACAAGAGGAGTTTTAAAAAATATATATATATTTACAGACACCGAAGTGGATCTGGGAAAAAAATTGCTTGCAGCAAGGGATGGTATGAGGATTAAAGGTGTGCCATGACCTAGAGATCAAGTCTTGTGTGACAGTGGTGCCAAAGAAAGGATGTTCTATGTTGTATCTGCTGCAACTGTAGAAAGCGATTGAGGGAAGGGAATTACATGCCTGCAAAAATCCTTTGGTGCTATTAAAATTGGCATGCTTTGGGAGCCCTTGAATAGTCCTGCTTGCCATTTTGAAGAGCAAGAGCCAACTGAGACTGATATGAGGTTAGCAAAAACAGAGGCTGACATTTTGGTTTTGGGGCAGTACTTCAGGTGATATCACGGTGAAACCATTGCTGCTGTACAGATTTCAGGGGGAACAATTGAGCTAAGTTTCCAGTGTGCTGGCATGCAAACAGAAGAGTTTGGATGACTCTTACTCCCCTCAAGGAATAGTTTGAACAGTGATTTTTTTTAGATATTCAAGACTACTTCAAAGAAAAAAAATTATAAATTAAATTCCTGTTCATTCTTCATACTCCATGTGCCCCACTTGCATTTGCCAATGCTAATCTTAATGTACACCTTGTCTTTGTATGTAGCCATATCTCATATCCTCAAGCCATTAGATCAATGTTTGATACAGCTTTCAAGTAATCATGTTAAAGTAATATATAACTTTATTGTTCAGAAAATATCATTTTTAAAAGAATATTCTATTTTTTTAAAAAAGCATTAAATAGTTCAAAAGAGCCTGCCTTTAACAGAAAATGGGAGAAGATATGGCCAAAGGCAGTGAATTATTTTCAATGATCCACTCAAAGACAGAATCAAGGGATCAAGAAGAATCTATGGACAAGGATACACATGTGGCACAGGATATATCACCAAATAAGTTGAATTTAACCTGTTCATACTAATTTAAATGATGTGGTACTCCTATAGTATGATCCTCAGGAAGTCAACAGTACCCTAGAGGTGATTATTATAAATGACAATGAAGACAATTAGGTGGTTTTCAGATTAGAAACAGAGGCAGTTATAAACAACAGATGCAATTTCTTTAGAACCATATTAAATACTCTTATGGAAAGAACTGAAAATTGGTACCTTTACGTGTCATAGCTTACCAGTCTAAAGCTTGAGTGATTTAGCAGAATTCTAAAAATAGGTGCTATGATGCCTTCAAAAACAATCACATTAGACAGGATCCACCTTCAACAGTACTTAAATAATCAAGTGCCATTTAATACCATTGCTGAACAGCTGATAAGCTACCTCAGACAAAGATGAATGATTTAAGTGAACATTTAAAAAAGGTTCTAAGTGTGTTTATATTATAAAGACCATACTGGGAAGAAAGCAATGCCAGAAAAGCCTAAGTCATCAGGTTATTGCCATTTAAATACCTTTAATGGAGGGCTGATAAGTTGCCTTCAGACAAGGCTTGAATGATTTATAATTGAACTCTGTTCAGAAGTGCTAAGGTGTCTTCAAAAAAGTCTTAAGAAGACAGACATCTTCAGAAGGGCCAAAGTCATTAAGTAGTGCCACTTAAATTCACCTGATGAATAGAGTTAAAGCTGAAAGCAATATATGTTACAACTTCAGGATTAGATTTTAGTGACTCTTGAGAACACAGATATCCATGATTTGAACTAACAGTTCAAATGTCCACTGTTCATTGCCTCTTTGTCACCCTCATTTTCCACCACCATAATAAATGATAGATACATCCTCATCACCTCTGGGAATCATATCAGGATCTAAATGGAAACTGAAGAACCTATCATTTTTACTAATTGAAACTATGTAAACTCTCAATTTTATGTAATAAATTGTTATTGTTTTATTTTATTGCACATAGAACATTTTTAAGGGCTTTCAAAAGTTCATTTGTGACTTCGTTCCTTCTAATTTTTTTTCCTCCTAAAACTATGATTCTCCCAGCTCAACTCTGCTATCTTGGGTTTGTCTACATACCTGACTCTCATGGGTGGGGAAGAATTACAATTTTTGTTCAGTCTTAAGCTCACAGAAAGAGCATTGGAACTGGGTTCTGGAGAGCCAGGTTTGCATCCAGCTCTGCCTGAAATGATTGCGTCTTTGAGCTAGTCATTTAGCTTCTGTGAGCCTCAGTTTTATCACCGATGAAATGAGGATAATACTACCTGGTCTATTTCACAAGATATTTGTGATAATCAAATGTAATTGTGTATACCAGATGCTACTAAAAGTAAAATTAAAAAGTGCTACATAGCTGGGCATGATGATGCAAACCTGTAATCCAAGCTACTCAGGAAATTAAGGCAAGGGATTGTGAGTTGAAAGCTAGCTTGGGAAACTCAGCAAGACTCTGTCTCAAAACAAAAATTTTACAAAGTGCTAGATAATTGTGAAGTGTCAACTTAGTATTTCAGACCTTCCAGACAAACACTAAAAAGCCCTATTTTCAAATTATTGTTTCTTTCTAAATAATTTTCTTCATAAATAGAATTTACATGTCAATTAGAATTTAAAAAGAAAATAAAAATTGCTCATAATTTCATAAGCCAAAGGTAACTGCATTGGTACTTTTCCACATACTTTTTTTCTCATCAAATAAAAATTGTTCATCAATGTCAAAGACTTGGAAAATAAAAACAAACATATAGAAAATAATAAAATATCACCCACAATTGTAAATCCTAGAATCAATGTCAACATTTTGGTGGATTTCTTATATATGCTATTTATGCACATATATATTTTCCTACATTCTTAAATTCATAATGTGTACAGTTTTGTATTCTTTTCATTTAACATTTATCTCATGAATATTTTCCTACCTTTTAAAAGTCTTTATAAAAGTTGTGATGGTGTAAATTAGTTCTTCATATAGTAGCATCACAGTCTATTTAACCATTTCTTTTTTTAAAATATATTTTTATAACTTTATTTATTTTTTTATGTGGTGCTGAGGATCGACCCAGTGCCTCACCCATGCTAGGCAAGGCTCTACCACTGAGCTACAGACCCACCCACCATTTCTTTATTTCTTTTTTTTTAATATTTGAGTCCTTTCCTAATTTATGTCATTATAAATAATGTTGGAATGACTATTTTATTTCTTAAATGAAAATATTTGGATTGATGAGAGCAGAAGATTTTATAAGCCCCTTTTAAATGTTTTCATTTACATAGAACATTGAGCATGATTGTTTTTTAAGAAGACTGTTAATAGTTCTATTGCATTATCCAAATTGAACTTTGATGGGTAAAAGAAAAATAAGAAGCAATAGATCTAATTGCAAGATTGAGAGTCTTTTTTTTTTTTTTTTTGGAGTGCATTCCAGGAGCTGAATCTTGGTATTAGAGCAATTTAGGAGGGAAAATTTGGCACCATTTTTTGCTACTTCACTATAGAAAGGATTCAAGATTTAGACCAGGAAAGGAATATCCTGGACAAGCAATTTTACTTTATTTTATGGAGCTTGTGAAGTGTGTGACTAATCAGGTTTCTCCTTTGTTGACTACTGGAGAGTTTAGAGCCAAATGTGTGGTTCATGCATAGCATTTGTAAAAGGACTCCATGGTATGTATGCACTTTGTATTAACTGTCTTCCAGGCTCCATTCTATTTTCCTGTGTTTTTGATTTTGTTTGTTTTGCTTTTCTTTTACTTTCTTGTCTACATTGAATTTATACTATCATGTTGTATTTGGTGTATTCTTGTAAACCACCTGACATACATTTTGGAACAAGGTGAGGAATACATACATGAATGAATAAATATATTCAATACATTAGTAAATAAATCAATAAGGAATAGGCAATGAGGCAAATGAATGCAGCCAGGACTTTGAAAATGGAATAGTGTCTCTACAAATGATCGATATTAAGGATTTGCAGCTTGGAAGAACATATTGGAAAGAA